TCTGCTGCTTCTGCTACACATCTTGGTTGACCGCCAAGGCTTATCGCGTGTTGTTCTGGGCAAGTGTCACGATATAGGAGGAGGGGAGGCGCGCGCGGGGCGCAAACAGGGACGAGACGAAGTTTGCTTTTCGGCCACTCAATATCCCTGATGAGAAAAAAAAAAAACGGGCAGCCCTTTTTTTTCTTGCTGCAAGTCATGCGACCCGGCATCGCGCACATGCATGCCCATGCCCGCGCTGCATAAGATGCGCCGTTGTGGCCCACGAGCCAGACCCAGCGTCGCAGAAGTCGTCAGTGGTTGCGCGCGGCCTGGACCTTCCCCCCTCCTCAAATACCGACAGTGTGGTCGGCAAGCTAAGTAACTAGTTAGCTTCCCCAAGTTGCATTGGCGGCCGCGCGCGCGCGCGACCGATCCGATCTTTTTCTCTTTTTGTCCACTCTCTCTCTCTCTCTCTCGCTCTCTCTCTCGCTCTCTCTCTCATTTCTTTGCAAAGAAAAGTCCCCCGTCCCAGCGCGCGCCGTTTTGAATTCAATAAAAAAAGGGGGCGCCACTCGGATCATTAGTCTGCTGCCTCTCCCCACTGGCCATGCAAGAGATGGCGCGGGAACCTGCGCCGACGTCTCTCAATCGTCAGGTCTTTTCTTTCCATCTCTCTTCCGGCGTATCGCATTGCAGGCTCTGGTGCTATTTATTGCTCACACAGTCATGACTTTGTCCCGACTGCAAGGGATCAAACGGCTTGCCACTTGCCTGATCACTCACGCAGCATGTTGTTTCCCAAGCATACCTAAACCTCCTCACCGCCACATTACCTCGTGATCATGTTGGCCCCTCCTTGGGCATATGTACCGTACGGAGGTTCAAGATGAGCCAATTAATGAGTCGGATGAGGTGGGTGCCAACATTTACACGGACGACTCCTGTTGGAGGTGTCTCTGTCCGACACTCTGATTGACTGAGCACAACTCTCTGATTCTTACTCTCTCTCTCTATGTCTCTCTCTAGGGCAATCATGCTTCTTCGGCACCCACTTGCATCTACGAAAAAAAAAAAAAAAAAAAACAGGTCCCACGAGTTCCACGACGGACTCCCGGATAGCAATCCCTTCCTCCACTCTTGGCGGAAGAGGGTCGAGCCCCAGAGCCCACGACCAAGGAGTCAAGCACCAAAAAGGACTCTTGAATCGTCATCAACGCCTGATGCACCCTAGCGAAGTTGTCCAATCGACATCCAGAAGCTCCAAAGCCTAGCGTCCCCAGGAGATGGGGACCCAATGTTCACCGGCTTCCCGGTTCGCCTTCCGGAGCCACAACGGATGGGACTCTCCAGAATTAAAGACGCCATGTGGGTGGTGGCCCGTGAGACTTGGCTGGCTCCCAGAACCGGCAATATTAATACCACCAATTATTAGTCCTAGCTACTAGGATACCTGCCAACTTGCGCCGTGATGACTCTAGAACTTGCTTGTTCTGGTGGCCGGTGGCAGAAAACACCTTGCGATTGGCACATTCATTGCAAGAAACAGCTTGTTCAAATTTCTCATCGAAATGACAGAGTACTTTCCAGTTGCGCCACCAATCCAAGACACGGCGCAATCAATCAAAAAGAGACACTGGCTTGAAAGTGCCACGATGAGCTTGGCCAACACGGGGAACTGGCGGTTGATAATGCCGGCATCGACATAACACGGAGTACACGACATTGATTGCCCCAGTGTACTTCGTATCTACAGACTACCAGTAACAAGGTAGGGAGGGGGCTGGTCCTTGTCCGAGAATAGCTACTCAACTACCTTGGCCGTTCGCAGTTGCGTCCCTTATTTGCAGCCAAGCACGATTATGCAATGGTGAAAGCTTACCCTGGCGAGTCGCAATCACCTGACAACCAAGCTATGCGGACAATACGATAAGCCTTCCATGTTTGTCGGCCTTGTATGATCCCTGTACCTGGCTAATCATCGGCGAACATACGTCAGCAACCGTTTAGATATACAGGGGGGAGGCAGAGTCGAACAAGGTAGGTAAAATTGAGAATTCGTTTTACCCCTTGACTAATACTGGCAGCAGATTAAATGGCCAAGAGACATGCGCCGCAAAGAGGCAGCGTCCCACGTTTTGGCCCCAAAAAAAAAAAAGAAAGAAAGAAAAAAGAAGGCTGAAACGTGTACGGATAGGCGGCCTCGAATGCATGCATTGCATCTTTGCAACTGATTGGACCGGGCCGTGTATGTCTCTTTTCCCCCTCACGTCCAACCGTGCCAATCTCAGTCCCGCGTGGCGGCCAGTGCAGGACCACCACACTCCGGGGCTTTGAGTCCTGAATCCCCGAGCGAATGACAGCAGGTCTTGCGACGAAAACCCATTTTATGCCACCCCCTCCTTCTGGCTGCGCACATCAGCCCACGGCCCCCCTTTCGGTGCTAAAACCCCGTACATCTGAACGGATTACACGGTCAACATAGTTACGGCTGCAGTCAAATATTGTTAGTGACTGCCTTAGTTTAAGATCGACCACATATTGAAGCGTTGAGATGCGACACAGAGTTTCCTGCTTTCGCCTGGGGCTGTTGAAGTAACACCATGGACAACCAGTGAGCACGGCGGCGCAGAAACATCTAGCATACCGAGATTATGCCATATCTGAGGCGGTGGAAGGATCAACTCAAATGAATCTGCCTCTGGCGGTGCTGACGACTGGCAGGGTTAACGACAAGCGCTTCTCAGGTGGGACAATCTGGATCATCTTGCAGCTTTACGAGGTGCTCCCCGGCAAACTGCCGGCCAACCCCGAGCCGCTTTGATTGCATCGCCCGACAAGGTCTATTGGCGTGCCGACGTTTCTCCTCATTCATGTACTACACCTTGACACCTTGCGCGGCGCCACGTATGGAGTTCTCCCTTGGCTGTGGTCTGGCGTCCTCGGGTTCGACTTACCGTTGAGATGACATAATTTCGAGCTTGGCAATCTCGAATTTGGGGTCTGAGCCGGGCGCCTTTGCGTCACTTGCTCCTGATGTATCACATTTCTTTGGATGAAAAGTAAGGCTCATCATGGCCGCCAAGATGCGGCAGAACCCCGTCGTGGTTCGCGACTAAAAAAAAAAGTTGGACCAAGATTACCAGGCCGTCCCGGGGCTGAGTGATGAGCATCAACACCAGACCGGCGTCCGGAGGTTACTAGAACGGGAATTATCCTCACAGCCTCCCCCCGTGTTTGTCGTCCCGTCGAGTTCTGTGTTCTGACTGTGCGTTTCCGAAAGCTATACCGATCCGCGTCCGGAACGAGACGGCCCCCCACCTTCATCTCACTTTTTGTTGATAATGAGGCGGGCAATCAGAGAAAACACCTGATTATTTTTGAATAAGTGACCAGTCGGCGATTTACATCGATGACTCTTCAATCCCTTGTCAATCGCACGATCCGCACACGACAGAGAGGGATCAGGTGGGCACGGATTCCGCCACACGTTTTCCCCAAAACGGATCAAAGAATCAAAAAAAGGAAAATTCGTCGAGTCAGTATCAGCTAGAAAAAGCAACTTTCATCTGTTCAAGTGGAAAGCGCCTCCGACAAAATGGCGTCATGGTGAACCCTCCCCTGGCTGGTCCTTTATCCCCTATTCAGCTGGGCGCTACTGTCGAGCTATTTCCGTACTGACTGAACAGAAGACAAGACATCGCAAACCCGTCGAAACAGAATCCCACCAGCATTGCAGCCTGGAACAGATTATCTCGGCGGAAACGAACGATGCATCGATGGGTTGCCGGGGTATGCGGGCGACAGGCTTGACGCTGTGTAGCATGGAGCCCGACAGAGGTGGACTTGACCCTTGCTGTCGAACCGGAGAGGGCGATGTGGCGGTGGACAAGGAAAAAGATTCAATTTGTATCTGCAGGCAGAGTCGAGGATAAGACTGTCATCTGCAGCCTAAATTAATGCTTATGTCGTCCGCGCCGCCATCGTTGGGGGCCCTGGCCAGCACGAATGCCCGATGCGCATGCCGTTTTACACGTCTCAATTGACAGAGGATGCAACGGCATCTGGATACGCCCTGTTCAAATGCAACGCCGCGAACCCCGGCAATTCCTCACCGCATTCATCCTGTCTCGGGTTCTGGAGCGGCCACGATGCGCCGTCACTGGACGTGTGTAGGTGAATGGGGGCTCTATGCGCCTGAAGGCATCATGATACAGCAAAGACCATGCAAGCTTCCGCGTGATGCAAATCTGGAGCCTCACAGTTCAAAATTATTTTTTCCGAGGAGGCTTGTTGCCGCAAATGCGCCAGACAGTAAACGACGACTGTCGCACCAACAAAAACGCGGCGCTGATATGCCTCCTGCAGGCTCGAACAGCCCCAGTGACTCAAATGTCTTTTCCCACAGCTGCACAGTTGTTTGCCGACTTGTCGAGGTCACTCGCTTGGAAAAAGAGGCGACTTGCAGTCAAGCTGCACTGACCACTGGAGCCCTTGTCCGCTTATTCGTAACCTGGCGGCAGGCTGAAATTACACACGTTAAATCATCCGCACGTTTCTCAGACTTGAAGATTATGCAAATCGTTTTTCAAACTGATGTTTGTTGCAACCTCTGCATGAACTTTCAACAATGTTCAATTTGCTCGGATGGCCGAGCAATGCCTCTATTCACACGTTAGCTTACACCGTTCTGTGGACTCGGCTGCCTGACGTAATGCAGGCACAAAGGCTTTTGGCCCGCAAAAGAAGAAGGCAGACACCCGCAGTTACCAAGGTTAGTCACAGTCACACCGAGAAGCTGCATATTCGTCTGGCTATCAACATCCAACCTCCTAGAATCGAAAATTTGGTTAACCTTTTCGACCGCCTCGATTGTCGATTACCGGGCTCATCAAACGTCTGCTTCACCCCGCCGACCCCACCAAACACACGGCAGCGCCACGACGGCTATCCGACACGAGACACAAGACAGCTTCTAAGAATTGGTGTCACAACATTGATAGCGCGGGAAATCATTTAATATGGCTGGCAAGAAGGGAGAAAACGCGAAAAAGGTGGCCGGAAATGCCCGCAAGGCGGAAGCTGCGGCCAAGAAGGGCGCCGCCGAGGATGCTCATCGCGAGCATGTCGAGGACGAGAAGTGGCAGAAGGGTTCCAAGAATAACTCGAAGAAGTGAGTAAACGTGCAACACCCTGTCTTGACCATCATCTCCTTCTTTGGGCTACTCTGCTCGCCCTCGACGAGATGGTGCGCTCTGCGAGACAGCGCTACGTGTTACGGACAGGCACCAAACCGACGGTTGACTGACGCGCCTTGCCACTTTCAGGGAAGCCGAAGAAGCCAAGCGAGCAGAGGCCGCGAGAAAAAAGGCCGAGAAGGATGCTTTGATGAAGGAGGAAGAGGAAAATATCGGTGGCCGTGCCGAACCCAAGAAAGCCAAGACGGCCGTCAAGAAGTCGCGCGGCCTGGACTTGTCGCAGCTCGATGACGGGCCCAGCACTCTCAACGCCAGCGGCATCGACAATGCGCTCGACGCTCTGTCGCTGACTGCCGGAGGCAGCGATGGCAAGGTTGACACGCACCCCGAGAGGCGCTTTGGCGCTGCCTACCGCGCGTACGAGGAGCGCCGTCTGGACGAGATGAAGGCCGACGGTAGCGGCACGGGTCTGCGTCTGGATCAGCGCAAGCAGCGCATCCGCAAGGAGTTTGAAAAGAGCCCCGAGAACCCCTTTAACCAGGTCACGGCCGCTTACAATGCTACGAGAGACGACATTCGCGAAGTTCGTGAAAACGAGAAGAGCAAGATTGAGAAGCGCCTTGGTGCTTGAGCGGCTGCATTTCATGAACCTTTTTTTTTTTCTTTTCTTCTTTTTTTTTCGTTGCGTTGTCCGTCTTTGAATCTGGGATTAGAGAATTGAGAAACGGGCAAGGGCTATTGAAATTAATAAAGCTGTGCTTAGATTAGTTGCCTATTCCTCGCGCATCATTTTCAATACAAGAGATGGAGAATATCCCTCAATGACGAAAAGTTGACTGCAAATTCTTGTTCTCGGTCTACGACAATCGCCGTTGTAGCCCTCCGACGAGGTGGGCAGAAATCGAAACCTATAAAATTCCATCTTAACCCTTCTTGGTCATTTACTTGGAAACTCCACCACCCGAAAAAAAGAAACTCGGGCAGTAAATACCACTCTAGACACAAGGACAAGGACAATGGGCACTAGGAGCCTAAATTTGCGTATTGTTGCGAATGAATTGCTTGTTTTTAGCTGCAGGATTAGAAACTGTGTCTTAGACATCAACAGCTGATGAAATAGTGATTCATTGCCTGAGTCTGATCTATTACACTCCGTATTCGTATATGTGGTAGTGTCGATGTACTGGACTATTCGCTAGTTACATGCCGGTCTCCTAACAGCGTGCAATACTGTAGACTAACCACATCGTACGAATGCTTTTCTTGTTCGTTAGGGGCTAAGGGGTCTGCTTAATGACATATTACTAACTTATAGGTCTGTTTGAAAAGCTGGTGATGCTCGCGTAGTTGAGGTTATTGCCACTTATCCGTTATTTTGCAGCACAACGGCTCGTGACCGGTCTGAAGCTCCTGCGTTCCGTGGACGATGTACGACTAACATATGCAGAGCCACAGATCGAAAGATTATGTGATGCGCGACGTTGTAATTTATTATAGGGGGTATAGTGCTCGCACAAGTGTGGTGCATTACGAGGTGTATAACTGAACAAGGCTGTAGTAATTGCTTCTTTGATTGGCTGCTCCGTCCGGAGCACCTTCCTCTTGATGTGATACGATGATGCAGGTGTTGTTATGAGATATAGGGGTAAATAAGCGCTCACACACAAATGTGGCACGCCTAACCTTTTGCTGATTGGCTGCTTGTGCGGCACAACTTCCGTCCGATGTGATATGATGATAGATTGCTCTCTGTACTACTCACCATCGTAAACCGCATCTCATCCTTCACTTATACCACCGACTCTAGGTACTCGGCATGTCGCAACGAGCTTCTTACCGTCCGATCCTGCCTCGGGGTGGTGGCAATCTGCCGCCGCCACCACCACCACCACCACCACCAGTTTCCGATTATCTCCCACGGTTACGCTCCATCATTTCAGTGGCATGTGAGAACTGCCGGCGAAGCAAAATCAAGGTTAGCTTGTCAAACTCCCGGGGGAATTTACCCCCGAAAAAAAAAAAAAACAATGAAAAACGTGCTAATCTAGTTTGGCCGGGATTCTTTTCTAGTGTGATGGCGAGCGGCCAGTCTGTCGCGCGTGTACTCGCAACAAACGGCCGTGCACCTACCGTGCTGAGGTCGGGGAGTCTGGTGTTGCATCCTTGAAGAGGCAGCATCTAGAGGCCCAAGAAGAGATTCTACGACTCCGGAAATCGCACAAGTCTCTCCAGCGTATTATATCGGCCCTGCAGACCCGAGAGGACACCGAGGCGCTCTCGATTGTCCGACATCTGCGCGACGCGCAGGATCCCGAAGCTGTCGCCAGACAGCTCGAGGGCGGCGATGTGCTGCTCCAGCTTTGCGTCCACCCAGAGTCAAAGTTTCGCTTCACGTTTCCATTTCGTTGGCAAATGCCAGAAGCGCTACGCACGCCGGGAAATGCGTACCTCAAGTCGCCCCTGTTTGAGTCGGCGTTTTTGGCGCCAGACCGCAACGCAGCAGCAGCAGCAACTTCCCTGATTGAGACTCAGCAGCCGCAATATTTTAGGCCGTATGCTGTGGCTCAGATTGCCGATTCTCGAATCACTGGCGCTGAATTCTCCCACTGGACAAGCGTCTGTACTGACGATAAGCTTATGAGGGCTCTGTTACATGTCTATCTGCTCACGGAATATCAAGCGTTTCCCTTTTTTCACAAGGACTTTTTCCTTGACGACTTGAACGCGGGGCGTCCTCGATTTTGCTCCTCATTGCTCGTTCATGCCATACTGGCTCATGCATGTGTAAGTTCAATCGGTCAACGTCCATGTCCTTTTCTTCACATCTTTCGTTGCTCACCACTGTAATTTCTAGTTGATTCATCTGCCCTTTCCTGATCGAGCAGAATACTGGAATCCGCATTTTCTGGGCTATAAGTTCTTTGCTGAAGCGCGAAGGCTCTGGGACATGGACCGATTTGAGCCTGACTCGGTCACTACCATACAGGCTGGCCTGATCATGAACCTTGTCTACAACGTTTACTCAATGGACAAAGTCGGCCTTTCCTATGGTGCACAAGCTTCCGCCATGGCGTATAAGATGGGCTTGTTCAAACTACCTGACGAGGTAACGGACCCTAGCCTTCAGATTGTCCGCGATTTTACTGCGTGGGGTCTGTATTATTGCATCAGGTACGTCAAACTTTCACCAAACACTGTAAAGAAAAAGGTTTGCTCTTAACACAATGATTAGTTTCCAGTGTTATCATGTCATGACACCCTCGCCGTTGCAATACGAGCCGGCCGCGCCCCTCCCCGACCCAGACACCAATCCGGAATGGTACGGCGAATTTCTTCTGCAGTACCCTTCGAATCAAAAAACGATTCCCATGAACTATCCTCACTGGACCAAGTTCAAATTTGACATTTGGTGTATATTGCGTCCGGTCGCAGATGAGCTTTTCAACAAGGAAGAGAAGAGCGATCCAGCGACGTGCCGGCAGATGTACACTCGAGCATTCGAGAAAATGATGAGTTTGTACTCGGCATTGCCACCGCAGCTCTCACCTATGCAAGTCGTTTTCCCATTGCACATGGGTATACAGTACGTGCCATGATGTAGAATGAAGACCGCTCCGATTCTTACTGACCTGCTTTTTAGTACATGGTATCACAACATCATGTCGGGCATTTGCCAGCTCCTCATCTCCGAGCTTGGCGACTCTCCGGTTTCGAGCCTGCGCCTTGCTGCCGAAGCGCAGCTAGTACACTCCAAGATCTGCTTCGAAACCATCTTGAGATTGTACTACCTTAGAAATGGGTACGACGGCGGCAACATGCTTCTTTTGCACTGCCTAGCTGTCCTTTCTTTCAACGCACTCGCCGAGCGTCAATCGCCCGGCGCTGTGACAGACTTGGCATCACAGGAAGACAAGAGGAGCACATTGATACTCGCAGCCAAGGGCCTTCACGATCAGGGCAAAAATTACTTCATGAGCGCAACCATCTCGCGTGTCCTTCAGAGCCAAATGGCACCCGAGGACCTCGACATTGTGTCTCAGTATTGCACGTCACGCAGCGAGCAACCCACGGTGCAACAAGCTCGCGCGGAGCATGTCAAGGCACAGTATCCGCTGAATATAGTGAACATGTCGGATGTTCCAGAGGAGCAGCGTTTGGGGAACATGATTAAGCAGTACGAGGAACTAGCCATACAGCAAGTTGGTTAGCTTGCGGACGCGTGATTTGTCGGGCGCTTGGCTATCACGAACACCAATTTCATACTGTTTTCTGTGCTTAGCCAACTTGATTGTGATTTCATTGTCATGCATAGTGGAGTGGATGGTAGAAATCTATGAGCGGAAATTTATGAGCAGCCCATGATGCTAAGAGCAGCTGCTCTCTTGAGGATTGGTTCACGAGTGCAGAAACAGGACCACAGCTGCCACTATAAACGATGCGCAATTGGACTTCTGTAGCAGTTCTACAGAAGTCCAGATCCCCACTGGCTCAGTTTGAATGCGGCTTGGTGGAAATGACTAGCTACAGCCCCTTTCGCTAGAGACAAACTAGGTCTGCCCACTGTGCCTATGCTATCATCTCATCTGGAGAAACCAAATGACTTGTGAGAATGAAAGTACTGGGAGGGCTCGAAACAAGACGGAAACCGCTAGCAGCTTAGTTAGGCGGTTGGGCGGGTATCTTAACGGCTTCTCGATCTTGAGGTCAGTACCGCTACGTGGTTGATATATGTTGCTCTGATATTCTTGCTGATTCAATAGTAGGTAGTACCGGTTATGAATTTTGTGAACAATCCTCACTATACTGAGCTAACTGTAATACTTTTTCTATTGCTTGGAGGAGAATAAGCGGCCATCCTTTTTCATTACCTGGACCCCCCACCAAAGCACTTGGCAGAACGCGCCACCTTTAGGCTCACCGCCCGTCAGCTAAGCTGTCACTCCCGGGAGTTTCATCTGCGATCAGCGGCACCAATTACGTGCTTCTGGCCTCTTTCTTTTTACAAAGATGTCAGCATTGAGGCTGGCGAATTTACCGGCGCTGCGGAAGCAGCAGCTTCTCTCTGAATTGTACGGCCAATCTGCAATACCAAACACTCGCTGATCAATGGCTAACGGTGCCGACCAGCACTGGCTTGAAGCAGGCCTGCCCTTCTGGCGTCTTTGTAACATTAACACCGGATGACTCGACCGTGTGGTCTGCCGTCTTGTTCGTCCGCGACGGTAATACGACCTCGTTCCACGGCATGAGGGAACTGAGTGCGCTAACAATTGCAGGACCTTACGCTCCCGCCATCCTCAGATTCCAAATTTTGTTCCCCGATTCCTACCCAAAACGAGCCCCCATGATTATTTTTGCGACCGACATATTTCACCCCCTCATCACGCCTCTTACGACATATATGTACACTACCGATATACAAGAGAATGGAACCGTGAGCGCGACCGACGACGAACGACTGCCGCCAGGAGGCTTTAGCCTGCGGCATGGATTCCCGGAATGGTTCGGCAGGGTGCGCCGCAGCGCCGAGGCCAATCTCTCCGCGCCAACAAGTCCCATAATCGAGCAGACTCACATGTTTACGAGTCCAGACCCTGGTGCTGCTGGCGGCGCCGGCCCCTCCTACATGCAGACCAACCGAGCTGTCGTGTCCATATACCAGATTCTCAAATACATAAAGAGCACATTCGACAAGCCAGAGGTCCTGGACGCGGTTCCCCTGGATGCCGCCGGAAACCCCGGTGCGTGGCACGCGTGGAGGACGCATCGGCGGAAGCAGCAGGCAAAGCAGGGCGAGGCCGAGAAGCAAGGCCGCGACGGCGGCCCTGCGACGCCCAGCCCCAAGAAGCCGGCGGGCGACAAGAAACCCGTCAGCCAAGCTGTCCCCAGGAAGCCTGGCGAGTGGAACTGGGACGGTGTTTGGGAGGACAGGGTGAAGAAAGGTGTCGCGACAAATCTGTCGGAGCCTGTTCTTTACGGCGGCACCACATTAAATGATGAACTGGCAAGTTTTGCTTCCTTGCAGCTGAGCCTCCTAATGGTTTCGTTTGGCTAACCCAAATCAGATTCGCTTCCTCTCCATGGAAGAAGCAGAAGCCGAGTCCATCAAGGATAACCTCCTTCGCACCCTGGGTACCTCGGTGTAGCTCCATGCGCACCTGCCTTGTTTCATCACGTCTTTGGATAACAGTGGCATTTGGAAGGAATACCTGCCATTTATACCGTATCACGACAATTATGGTAGCATTATTAGCAAATAGATACCCCTGCCGAGAACAGCATTTTCATTCTTGCAACATTCACCAATCCCAAACATCTTCAGACCATTTTATGTTATTCACCACAGCTTTGCTATTCTTTACAACTCTTGGACCGTCATTTTCTATTCATCTATCTCATCACCACCATGCCTCTCGGTTTATCGCCATACGTTACTTCCACTTGCGTCAGCCAAGAGAATCGGTCCAACGCCCGCATGGAAAACGACCGCCCAAGCCCTTTACGGATCTCTAAGCAGATAAACTCAACAACCCACACGAGGGGCGGTAATTATGATCAACATCCCGTCTATCCGGCACAAGAGTTTATCCATCCGCTGCAGAAGCACAGTGCCAATCACCTCAATATCTCGAAGCGGCGGAGTCTCTGGGCTCTATCATCGCAACTCGTCGACCACGAAGAACCACGGGACATTCCACCACGCCCATATTCGGTTACCCCAAACATGGCATTGGCAGCACGCTTTTCTCCTATGCCGGACGAGAAGAGCGAGCGGAAGGTTCCTCGCCCGGCCGAAGAGGCGGAGGAGATGCTGAGGGAAGCAAGTCGTACGTACTCGGGCGCTTCCGATAACTCCAACTCTTGGAATTCTTTTGTCTCTGGCGGATGCAGCGAGCGCAAGATGTCTAGCACACGGTCCACCTCAAGCGTGGTACGACACGTTTCATCGTCAACCGACGTTCCCAGCTGCACAATCAGCATGGACAGCATCTTGCCTCACGTGTTATCTCCTCACATTTCGATCTATACAAACGGCCACAATCGTTACTTTGGTCAAGTCCATGTATGGGCAGCGATTGAAGTGTCTGGCATTCTATCACATGCGTACTCGGCGGATGGGACTGGTGCCAAGCTAGCTCAACCAAGAGAGGACGAGCATCATTTAGGTAACATTTTGGTTGTTCTGTTTCTGCTTTCAACTAATACAGATAGATTTATTTTTCAAGCATGGATGCCTTCATGATCTAAAGGTCGAGGTGCTCCCTGTGAAAGGGACTGCCGTGTTGCAAGTCTTTCACGAGCAGGCATTTCCGACGTAAGTCGTGCTATACGAGGAGATTGTCCAGTGCTAATAGAGCAGAATTCTATATGCTGGTTCAAAGACCCTCATACTTGCACAGATTCGCATCAACCCGGAGTTGATTGCAAGACGCGTTAGCAAAGCACACCGGAGACATAAATCAGACGAATTGATGGCCGATCTAGAGAGCCAGCTAGGAGACTCGCAGATGCCATATATGAAAGTAAAAGTCACATACAGCCATTCCGCATTTTCAGACTATTTTGGCCATGAGATACTGGTTGGCGTGGCTCAACGATGCACGAAACTGGAAACAACTGCAGTTGGTGCCTTGAAGCAACACAACGTTGGATCCGCATGGTCACCACCACCTATCTACTCACTTGAAAGCATCAAGTCTGCCATGCAAAGGCACTGGAAAGCCGATGTGGTTGCAAAATGGTTGCAGAGGATAAAAGACTCGGAAAGAGCTGGAATTCAGCAAAGCACCAAGCATGGCGACAATGCGGCTGAAGAACTGCAAGAGGCAAATTGCCGAGACCCCATGCATCGACCAGCCATCTCCATGGAGACAATGTGCCAAAAAATGACTGCAAACCGTCTCTCGGAGTCGTGCAGGCATGTGCAATCTCCCGACTATGGTAATGAGAGGCGAGAGCTGAAGCCGGCCACAAACATGGGCTCGCTACGAAGCAGGCGATCTTGGAGCCGCAACACAAGCGGCACAACGTGCACGTCGGGGTCACTAAGGAAGAAGAAGTCATTTGCGGCAGGAATCTGGAGGACTCTGACACCATCTATCAACATACCCAAGACCGAGGGAGATGGATCTGCGCAAGGCCCTTGGAATTGGAACGCATGGTTCTAGAGTATTGTAGCATCAATTAGGAAGTAGTTTCAGTCAAGTTGAATTTGGATTCTATTTTAACATTTTTTTTTTCAATTTTTTTTTTCATTCTTTTGTTTGCTTACTGCAGCTCGTCCTTCCACGGAATGGATACTTGGGCTCCTCGTCTCGATACAGTAATGGCAGAGGCTTTGTTGGCAGCTCTGATGGCGGTATCAATGTCAAAGACATCGGTTGAGTTGACGACAGACAGAGCGTAGGAGCCAACAAATGTATCGCCAGCAGCGGTGGTATCTACAACATTTGCCTTGAGAGCGTCGACCAGCGCACTCTTGCCATTGTCAGTAGCATAGTAGACGCCACGACCGCCGAGGGTGATGATGACGTTGCGCACGCCTTTCCGGAGAAAGACGGCGCCGACGCGCTTCAGACCCTCGAGGTCGTCGAGGTCGGACTCTTTGCCGCCCGAAAGGATGGCGGCCTCGGTCTCGTTGACGACGAGATGGGCCAGCCCGGCGTACGCCTCCCGGGGGAGCTCCCTCGCGGGGGCCGGGTTGAGCAGGACGGGCACGCCGGCCTCGCGCGCGGCGCTCAGCGCCTGCAGGACGGTATCAAAGGGAATCTCGAGCTGCATGATGAGCAGGTCCGGGCGGGGCGCGGGCAGCTCGGCAAAGTGGTGGGGGCGCAGGGCGTGGTTGGCCTGGGGCGAGAGGATGATGCGGTTCTGGCCCGAGGGCTCGTCGACGACGATGAGAGCGACGCCGGTCTGGGCGTCGTCGAGGACGCGGACGCCGGTCGTGTCGACGCCGTAGCTGCCGAGGCTGTCGCGGAGCTGGGCGCCGTAGGTGTCGCCGCCGACGGCGCCAATCATGGCGACGTCGGCGGAGGCTGAGGAGGAGGAAGAAGAGGCGGAGGAGCTGGAGGAGCGAGAGAGCTTGCCGCACGCGACGGCTTGGTTGGCGCCCTTGCCGCCGGGCGACGTTGAAAAGGACGTGGCGGTCAGCGTCTCGCCCGGGAGCGGGTGGTGCGGCACGTAGGACACGAGGTCCATGTTGAGGGAGCCGAGGACGACAATGCGCGGACGGGCCATGGCGGGCGGGCGGGCGGGATGCGGGGGAGGGCGGCGGGGATGGGGGACCGTTTGAGGTGAGGCTTGTTTGCCCTTTGGTTTGGGACGGGTACGGGAACGGAAATTTGGCCCGCAAACGGGAAGAGACTTTTAAGAAGAAAGAATGGACAAGAGAGATTGCGCAGAAATGGGGAGAAGGCAAAACTTGTCGTCAGTTTTTGTTATTACGAGCTTTGGAGGGGTTTTTTTTTTTTTTTTTTTGGAGGTAACCCCGCCTTCATGATGGATTTTGCTGCCCCTCCAATTGCCCTTTTGAGAGAAAAGGGCCAATTTTTATGGGCAGCCT